ACAATAAGAGGGATGCTGACCCCCAGGTGCCCTGACACCAGCCAGCACTGCTGCCGGCACTGCCGCCGGCCCCGGCTCTGGGCTCCCGCTCGCCCTTGGCCAGGGCCACTCTGGAAGCCGCCTGTTTGTTTATCTTCCTCTCTGGCGTTGCTTGTTTTGATGGCACATCCTCCTCCTCCTCTCCGGGCCCCGAGGGTCAAGCCATGAACCCGCCGCGTCCTGTTTGCCGAGGTCCCGCGCTGGGCGTGCGGAGGTGCGGAGCATCCACCCCTGCGCGCCACCCGCGGCAGATAAAAATACTCAGGGCGAAGCATCCTGAGGCACAGGGGCTATATTTGGGCTGATGCATCCGTCAGTTTGTCCCCAGTGTACCTGTACCTGTCCTCTCTGGGGCAGGGGGTACAGCACCACACGGACCCCCTGCCTCCCTCACAGAGTCGGACAACGGGCTCTGCTAAAAGCTAAGTCACAAAGTGCTGAGCACAGAAAGGCCGGGTGAGCTCTCAAACACCCACGGGTGGGCACCTCACACTGCCCTGTGGGGTCATCTCTGCAACTGAAAGAGACACCCGAGGACAAAATACCCCCAATCTGCTGTGTCCTATGCTGCTGGAAAGGGTGCCAGGGCAGCCCCGGGGCACTGAGCCCTCTCCAGCCACCCGCGCTTTCCCCTCATGGCATGAACCCCTGGGCTTGCCAACAAAAGCTGCCGGCTTTGCCTCGGCTCGCACGCGGCCGCCGCTCTCCCTCCAGCTCTGCCCAAAGCCAGGCAGCTGCTCAGCAGTGAACTCTTGCCAAAAACTGCATGTGTGAAAGCATCGTTTCCTAAACGTATAAATATTCCCAGGGCTTTGCTGGAAAACTCCCCATGATTAGTCAAAATGCCCAGGACAGCCAAGTGCACACAAGCCCAGGGAAGGCATGTTTAAGCTGAGAGGCAGGAGCCTCCCTGTGCAGCTCTGTCCTGGGGAACCAGTCCTTTCCTCTCCATGGGGATGCTGCAAAGGTCTGGGAAGTCAGCAAAGCCATGGAGCGCTTTCCCGCATCCCACCAGCCCTGCATTACACCATCACAGCCCCCTTCCAGCCAGGAGATGTTTATTGCTACCAAATATTCACAACCTGATGCCCCATTTCCCAGAAGGAGAGGCTGGGAGGACCATCAGACCTCTCTTCCTGACCTCCTGCCCACTGATATTCAACCACGCACACCCCGAGACCAAGCCCAGCAACTTGGTTTTCTTCCAGGCAGGCTCCAAGTCCACTTTTGGAGACATCAAGAGATGGAGGATCAACTGCTGCCCTTGGGAGCATGTCCCAGTCATTAATTGCCCACAGGAGCAAACTCAAGTGCATCCATCCCAGCTCCAAATCGCCTGGCTCCAGCTTCCAGTGTCTGGCTCATGCTCTGCTGCTCTCCACAAGATTAAAGAGAGCCCTTCACTAACCAGTATTTTCTCCTTGTAAAGACCTTCACAAACTGTAATCAAGGCACCTCTCAATTTTCTCCCTGATAAGCTCAATGGAGCTCTTCCCTTCCAAGTCTCTCAATGCCAGGCTCAGTCCCCAGCCCTCAACTCATTCCTGCAGCTCGGTGCTGATTGTCCAGCATCTTTTTGAAAAACCAGACACAGGAGATGGTCACAGCATTTCTGGCTCCCTGCAGAATGTCCTGGGGACCCAAGCCCATCTTGCTGCTCGTTTTTGAAGCTGGCAAATGAAGTAAAAAATTATCTGGGGAATCTGAAATACCTACCCAGAGATAATGAGATCATCCAGCCCACCCTTCTGCTGTGGGAAGAGAGAGGAGACTGGGATGAGCAGCCAGATTTGCTGGTGGAGAGCTGCAAAGCCATGTTTGGTGTTCCTCACTAACACAAGACCTAGGAGGCATCAGGAGGAACAGATAGGGTACCACATCCAAACCAAAGGCGGCAGCTGCTTGCATCTCACGGCTCATTGCCACAGGATGGTACGTGGGCCAAAAGCATCACCAGTGGGTTCATAAAGCAATGGGATGAATGCAGAGATGACAGATCTCTGCAGGCAGACTGAACATACAGCTGCATCCCTCTGCCAGCCTCTCCCCTGTGGCCAATGCTCAGACCTGGCTGCCAGGGATGTAGAAGGGGCGCATCTCCCAAACCCTCCCATACCCCATCCGGTGGTCTGGCCCCAGTTCTGCTTCTGGGCTGTTCTTGGGACACATGGCACCAACTTCCTGCTCATCTTTTAAGTCTCTATCAGATTATTTCCCCACCAGCCACTTTTGCACAGCTCTGTGTGGGGCTGCATCACTCCCCTCCTGCCCACCTTGCCCCACTGAGCACCTTCCCCCATGACCCACACCCTACCAGGTCTTGGAGGACTCTTGAGTTTCAAACCTGACTTTCATCTGCAGCAGATGTTGTTCATTCGACCCTTGGACAGAGACATGCTTCATCATCCTCTGATCCTGGCACATCTGCTGCATCCTTCCAGTGACAGCACCAAAATATCTACTGGCTGCTTCTGCCATGTCTGCTCCAGTATCAATCATCTTACCACCTCCATCTACTAATAAGCTTATGCCATGGCTTGGGGTTTTCTCCTACTACACTACATAAAAGCCTTTCCTTCTCTCCTTCACCATGATTTTCCCCTGATGTCTTTAGCTTCTGTTATCCATTTTCTACACTTCATAATTTCTAATTTATATTGATTGCTATCTACTCCCGCTCTCCCATTTGTTATAAACTGCTCTTTTATTTCTAATTGCTGCCTTCACTTTGCCGCTGAACCAGAACAGGCTCTCAGCCAGCACTGCCCTCTTTCTTGATTGTAGAATTGTGGCTTTTTGTGGTTCTGAAATTCTTCTGAAAGAGCTTACCATTTTCATTCACATTTTTCTATCTAAATATTTCCTCTGAGCTTATTTCACTCATAATTTCCCCCTGCTTTGGGAAATGAGCCCTTTCAAAGCATGAAGAATATAAATTACTGTTCAGGAATGTCCTTTCTTTGCCCAGGGTAAATGTAATCTGGTCATGATTGTCGGTCCCTAGGCAACTTCCAAGTTGCAGTCCAGCAGTGAATTCATCTCTATCCATCATAACCAGTGGGATACAAAAGTTGCCTGCACTGGATGCAGTGCCTCTCACATGAAACAGGGATCGTCTTGAATTTTTAGAAACTCTGCAGATGGTTTATTGCTGGCTCTGCAAGAGCATCAGTATGTGTCTCATGAAGCTACATCCTCTCAAAGTCCTTGTGACACCACGGACACCCTGGATGACTCCCTGATCCCCAGCAGACACCACTGCTCCCCAATCCTGCGCCTTCACAGTGAGCACAGAAGACTCAGAAGCATCCTGATTCTTTTCACATGGACAACCATCAACCATTTCTGATCTTGCCACATTGGTTTGAACCATTTTAGTTCTTCTGTCATTATTCCCAGTAGTGAAAAAGGATCAGAAGAAAGACTCTCTCCTTCCAGCCCCAGTTTCTCCAAAGCACAGATCTGATTTGAGAGTCAAGTGGGCCAAGGGGAGAGCAGTGGGCACAGCACAGATAACAAGCTGAAAGGCACTAGTCCCTACAATGTGCCACTGCAAAGCTACCCCTAAAAGCAGCAGATGAACTAAACAGAGCAGATGGCTTCTTATTCACCTGCTCCCTGCCTGCCATCAGCATTGGTGTTTCAGGTCCACAGCAAGTGCTGGAGGCAGGTGAGAATGGCCCAGCAAAGGCACACTGCAGTGGAGCAGTCACCCCATTTGCACCCCTGGCAACTCCTAGCAGCCAGGCAATGGTGACAGGGTGACAAAACACGGTGCCATGTCCCCATCTGGCCATGCCAGGCATGTCCCCAGTTTTGCTGGCCCTGCAGACCAAGTGCAAGGACACAAAGAGCCAGTGGGCACCACCTCTCTCCAAGCAAGTCTAGTCATCCCCACTAATGGCCCCATTCAGCCCAGCACACCTTGCACTGGGGCTGCTGGCAGAAGGAGGGAGGACTTGTACTGCTCCTTACCTCGTGCATGAAGTTCTGTTGAAATGTCTCCTCCTGGAAGGGCTCTGTCCGCAGGCGGTCTGCAAGGGAGAGCAGGATCACCCAGGCAGGTCTGGCCAGATCTCCCACCCCAGCTTCCCCTTAACCTGCCTGCCCATGGGGGAAGGGGGATGCAGGGGAACACCTCCAGCACACTCATCTCAGCCAGCGGGAGAGCCTAGCAGGCTATTGGGCTACAGACACATCACCTGTTTAGCAGAAGGTACAGGGAGCGCAGGCACATGGGGGAATAAGGGTGAGCCTGTTGATGTGCACACTGACCAGTTAGCAGATCCCAGAACCCATCCACACTTGTCTCATCATCCTCCCACACAGAGGGGCAGGGGACAGTGGAAGGACATGCTAGCACCATTCACAGCTTGAAAGGGCTGCCTAGGCCTGAGCAGCACGCAGCCACACCACAGGACAGGGACTGCTTGTTTCCAGCTGCTTTTCTGATGGGGTTACCCAGCCTATGTCCTCTTCTTACAGAACATGGAAAAATCCGTTACAGCTCATTCTGTTCTGCATATCATTCAAAGCACTAACTTTTCCCCATCCTTGCTAAGATGTTGTCTGGAAAAGCACCTGGCAAGGTTGCAGCACTGCTGCACCACTTCCTCCCAGCTTCCTGCCTTGCCCCGACAAGGGAGAAGACGAACCAGCATCAGTCCCTGGACCCAAACCAGGTTGTCTTTGCTGTTTGAAGCCCTGCAGAGCCGGCACACAGGGGGAGAATGGAGAGCATGGCTGGCTGACACAGCTCTAGTGCAGCTGCAGGGCAGATCCAGGCTTCTGTGCTGGGGCACCTGCTATGGAACAGGGTCTGGACCACATCACCTTCCTGGCCATGATATGCAAGTCAGGAGTGGCCTTCATCAGACCCTACATCCTGGGGGAATAAGGATCCCATGGAAGGGCAGGTATCACCTCTGGCAGCAGGACAGAGCAATGCAGTAGCCAGAGACAACTCAAAAATCAGCACTCAGCCAACCTCCTTGAGTGGAGGACAAACCCCCCAAGGTGGCTCCACCAGGCAGGTCCTGATGCACAACCTACCTGAGGGGGCTTCCTCCTGCCTGTGCCCCCTGATGGCGAGGCAAGCTGGGCACGGGAAGGGGACCCATGGGCATGGGAAGGGGACCTATGGGCATGGGAAGGGGACCTATGGGCATGGCTATGCTTCCTACAGGCAGTGGGGAGAGCCGGGAGCCCGTGGTAGCTCTCCAAGTGCTCGGTGAGCTCCCGTGCTCGGGAAGGGAACCCGACACCGCCCCAGGGCCGGCCCCAGCTGGCATCCCCACCAGCTCCTGGGGCGTGGCCAGGTGTTCTCAGCAAAGTGGAGAGCCCCTTGGCGACTCCCCAGTTCCTTCGGCTACTGGTCAAGGGCGGTTCCTCCCCCAGCTCTCCCAGGGGCTGCTCCCCAGCTTGCTGGCTACCGTCTGGCTGCTGGCGCTGCTGCACATGAAACACAAGCCCGGCTGGGTAACAGCCAGAGGGAGCAGAGCATGCCAGCCCCGTGCTGAGGAGGAAACTTGCTCCCTGCTTGTGCCTCTCTCGGCCCCAGGCATCCCTCCTCACCTCTGCTGAGAGCAGCCCCGCTCTCCCTGTAGTCTTCAATCTCAGCATCCTTCTGGAGCAGCAGGGAGGTCAGCTCCTCCACCTGGCACTGCAACGCCAGGCTCATCCGAATCAGGGGCCGCACAAGGTGACGGGACACCTAGAATGGAGGAGATACACTCTAGGGAAGATCCAGGGATGTACACAGCTGCCCATAGAACAGTTCAAGCAAGGCAGCCAGCAAGGTCCTAGCAAAAGCTGCGCTCCAGGTCACACAAGGCTCTCCAAGATACTTCATGTCTTACCCAAATCCAGTGGGCAGTGGTCAAAAGACAGGAGCTGTGAGAAGGGAGGCAGGATGCTGTGGGACATGTCCCTTCATCCCAGCCACATCCTTTCATAGCTGGAGGCTGCAGCAGGGGAGAGTTTGGGTGGGAGAGCACAATGGGGCAGCGTGGGTAATGCTCCTCCCATGATCTGGGATGCAGCACAAGGCAGAGAGCTCCCCATGTGCCACCCACATCCTCCCCATGGCTCTGCACACCCCAGGACATGTTCCTGCACAGGAAACAGGCAGCAATGGGCAAAAAATCAGAATATGAGGTGTCAAACTGTAGCTCAAGGAACAAGAGAGTCTTTCCCAGGGAGTCAAGATCAAAAGCAGCAGGGTCCCAGTATGCAGGACTGGGACAGGCTGCAGCTCTCCATTGCAGCCCACCCTTAGCTTATGGCCACACAAGTCCCATGCAGAGACCTAGGCACGTGCCCTGTTCTGAGGCCAGGCTGGGACACCCTGGCCCACCAGGCACATGAAGCAGTCTCCTGCTACCCCTTGCCTTTGTGTCCAGGCTGGGCCCATAGGTGAGAGGGCAACAAACTCAGCATTGCTTGAGAAACATTCTTGCTCCTACAGCAAGTCCACAGTGAGCTCCACACTCTGTTAACCCCCAGGCACGAGCTGCAGAGGTGATGGCCCTCGACTACCCAAATGCTCAGGGGGCACCGTCCCCTGCAGATGGGACAGGACAGAGTGAGCACTGGTTTGCCAGGTGGGGTCCATGCCTGCCTGGAGCCCTTGGCCAGCTGCTGAGTACAGCTTATCAAGGCAGAGTTGGTCCTCATTCCTGCATCCATACCAGCCACGCTCAGCATCCCAACTGCTTCCCACCTCTTGGATGCCTTGCAGACATCCAGCTTAATTCCAAGCAAAGGGAGAGGAACAGCTACCAGCTGAGAGTTTGAGCTCTGGAATCACAGAATGGTTTAGGTTGGAAGGGACCTTAAAGGTCACCTACTTGCAACACCCCTGCCTTGGACAGGGTCTCCATCCACTAGACCAGGTTGCTCCAAGCCCATCCATCCTGGCCTTGCTTCCAGGGAAGGGGCAGCCACAACTTTTCTGGGCAACCCATGCCAGTGTCTCACCACCCTCACAGGAAAGAATTTAAAGAATTTATTTGCCATATCTAATCTATCATTGCACCTTCTCGGCCCAGCCTCCGTGCTTCCTGCCCAGGGAGGGACAGCAAAGTCCCTGGGGCAAGCCAAGCCAAGACCCTGAGTTTATTTGCTCGCCAGTTAAACCTTGACAGTGAAAAGCCCCCCGACAGCATGCGGGGCGCCCAGTTCTCCTCCCCGTGATGTTCAAGGACACAGGGGGAGAAGGGCCGTGCCCGGGGGGACATCTCGGGAGAGGTTACCGGGAATTCCGGGCGATGCCTCCCGGGCTGCCCGGCGGCATTGGATCCACAGGGCGGGCGGCGGAGCCGGGGCTTCCGTCGCGGCGGTTCGCGGGTGCCGGGCGCCCTCTGGTGCGCGCAGGGCCCGGGGAGCGGCGGGACCGATTGCCAAGGGGCTGCTTCCCGAAACCCAAAGTGTCAGGCAGCCCTGTGGTAAGAGCAACCCCTTAAAAGCCGGGGAGACCCTGCTTTAATTCCCTCCACTGTGACAGGTGGCTGAGAGGTCCTTCGGGGGTGCCTGCCGCCCTGTGCCCCGCCCCGCGGCAGGCACCGGAGAACAGCACCGCCCTGCCCTGTGGGGCGCTGGCAGGGCATCATCATCCCGAGCTGGATATCCCCTTGCTGCCCTGGCAGCAGCATGTGCTGGGCCATCCTTGCCTTGCTGCAAGGCACCAAGCAAGATGCCAAAGCCTCAATGGGAAGAATCAGAGATAGTGAACCCCAGGAGGGGCAGCAGGCAGAGCCAGGCACCTTGCAGTCACCAGCATGGCCCAAGACTGCCCAAAACCTCCAAGCATTAGGAGACAATCCTTAATTCTGGCTGTCTCCCTCCCCAGATTCTCCACAGCTTTTCTCACCATCTCCAGGGGAGCAGGGCAGCAGTGGAAGTGCCAGTAGAAGGGCAGTCCCGAGAGCTCGCTCTTCACACGCAGGTTGAGGCTGCTGGCAGTGTGGTGGCAGGAGAAGGAGGTGGCAGTGTCCTGCTGCCCTGCCAGCAAGGGGCACATCAGCTTGGACAAGTGGTGCAGGAAGGAGGACACATGGACCGTCAGCCGCTTGTTCAGCTCCTGGGGAAAGGCAAGGTTAGGGGTGCAGCAACACCCCAGGGAGCTTGATGCTGGGAAAAAAAGCAGCAGGATCCCCAGCACACAAGGAGCCAAACTGCTTCCGCATGTCCCAAAGCTGCAAAAAGCCATCTCAGGGCCTTGGCTACCAGCCCTGCAACAGGACATTCCCCACCGGTTCTCCAAGGCCACCTGAGCTGGGAAGGGTCCCCTGCCCCACCAGGTCAGAAAGGTCTGGGTAGTGGGCAGGGTGCAATGGTCTCCACTAGCACATCTGCCACACATGCCACTTAGAGTGTCATAGGCTGGCTGAGAGCTGTCACAGCTCAGCTCACCTGCCAGAGCTGGGGGATAGCTGTCATTGCATGCCTCTCTCCTGCCACCAACTGCTCAGTACAGCGACTCTGTGACAGAGGGACATGGCATATGGAGGGCACATTGGGGCCTGGGCACATGGGCTGGGGTGAGGGGATGAGGGCTGTGCTGACAAGACACTCCATGGGAGCCTGTACCTGTCTATGAACATGAACAGAAGTCTCTCCACCACTGGTGGGAAGGCAGCCTTGTTTTAAGCTCCTCCTTAGTACACTGGTCCTGAGGAAACCAGCTGCCCATCCAGTCCAGAAGTGTGTGTGCTGGCCTCAGAATGCAGCACCAATGAACATTTTGTTGGCCTGGGCATGCTATAATAGCCTGGCACACTCTCCCAGGAGGAGGGTACTCAGCTAAATGGGATGACAATGCTTGGGCATAGCTGTCCAGGGATTTCCCAGGCCAGACATTTGCACCCAAGCCTTGTCAGACCCAACAACCACTGTGTAACCAAGCAGTTTATGCTGGGACATCAGTCACTGTGAGGAGAAAAGGAGGCCCCTGGACTTTCCAGACACTCACCTTGGACCTTTGTCCCACGACCTCAGCATCTGCACTCTCATACCAGATGCTGCTGAGGTCAGAGAGCAGCAGGATGTAGCCAGTATCCCTGAAGGACGCTTTGGCAAGAAAAGTGGACTCGCCAAAGCAAACAGAAGCCCAGGGCTGTGTCAGGAGGCTGCTCTCCAGCTCCTCGGAGCCCTCCATCTGTAAGACAAGAATCAGGTCTCTGCCTCAGCCCCCACCCAGGAAGACACAGATCCCTAGGGTGGCCACACACAGATCCTCGCTTCCTGCAGGCCCCTCCACGATGCCAGATCCACCCTGAGGACGCTCAGTCAGCTCTGGCCACACACATCCCTGCACACATCCATGCAGCTCTGCTGGGGCGGGCATTCTGGGGAGCTCTGTGCAGGGCAGTTCCCAGCCCAGCTCACAAGAAGCACCCCGAACGCACCAGCAGACACACAGCAGTGTGACCTGCTGCCTCCCCGGAGCCATCCCACGCC